TCCCACTGACGACGCGGACGAGCCCGCGGCCGTATCTCTGTGTACTGATGTTGCTCGTTTGTCTTAGCCCGGCGAGCCGAACTTCATTCGCCAAGTTCATTCGGAGTCCAAACATCCTGTTCACTTTCTCATCGTCTGTGTTTTTGGGATTTGAGTTGGATGTCTGGCCGGAATTGGCCACGAACGCATCACGCAGGTCGCTCAAGTTGTCGGATTTTGCTCTTGTGCCGCAGTGTTTTGTCGCGTTATCGAATGACGCACACGTGAGTCCAACTGTTCCGTTAACGCGGACATTTATTGAGGTCCCCGCTAGCGCGTCTGCCCTCCCCTTCCCTGCGTCTCTCCTCTCGTCTCCCGCGCCCGTCGCCGACGCACGCCCGTGACATCATCGCACAGCGACCCTGTAGTCTTTCCGTCGCACACCACGTGAGTCACTTGCGTGATTTGTTTGGCGCCGTTTTCTCAGGCCGGATACCCCGCGCCATCTTCTATCCATCTTTCCCGCGTATGTTTTTGTACCGCGATGCGGAGAGTTGCTCCCGGGACTGACTGTTTCGTGCTCGACGTAGTAACGCGATCGGCGATCCTTCGGTGGTCTTTTGTTCGAAGAAGAATGCCAGCCTGCTGAAGGTCACTGCCAATGTTTATTAAACGTCGATTTTTTTCAAAAGAAACGCGAGCCAACTTTGATTTGACCTGAATTGTCTTTGCCGGATGGCCTCCGACGAGACGCCACTTTTCACACGAACGAAGACGGGCAGGGAAAAAAGTTGTCTCTCGCTCCCTTCTCACTTGGACACTTGGACTTCGCGCGGCAATGCCCCGAATTCGCCACTAGGTGGCGGCAGACACCCGACATCACGTCCGCTCGCAAACCGAGCGAGAGGAGAAGGCGCCATCGCGTGCCGACTTTGGATCGACACGATATCAGAGAGCTTTTCTTTCAACGACGTAGCCTATTCTTCTTGTTCTTGTCACCCCGAGAGTCGTTCCTAATACCGGGCGCACAAACGACCGCGCCATCGTTGGGAAGCCTCCGCGGCAGCTTCAACGGAGAGTCAGCACGATCCGCCTTTTCGAGGCAGACTTGTGCCGAGGTGTTGGACCTCGCAAGGCTGCATGTGCGTGGCTCAAGGAGGCTGCTTGGACCCATTGGCTCCATTAACTCGCATTTCTTTGCTTTACTTTTCCAGTTGGATGAAAAGACAACCAAAGAAGAAGGTGACGCATGCGGTTTTGCAAGCGCTGCTCCACATAAGGCAACACAATGACCACAGCATTCCTACTTTTTCTTTTTTTAGTCAGTGTGTGTGTGTGTGTGTGTGTGTGTGTGTGTGTGCGTGTGCATGTGTGTGTGTGCGCGTGTGTGTGTTTTGTTTCAAGTAAAAGTCGGTATGAAAAATGTGCAAGTGTGTATCTAACTTGGCGGATAGTCTGTGATTGATTTTAGACTCAAGCCTGCAGATTTGATGTCTTCTGCTAGGAAAATTCCATCCATCCATCCATACATCCATTTTCTAATCCGCTGATCCTCACAAGGGTCTCGGGTGTGCTGGAGCCTATCCCAGCTGTCTTTGGGCAGTAGGCGGGGGACACCCTGAACTGGTTGCCAGCCAATCGCACTTTATAATTATATTTATAGATCAGTCATGAAATTAAACTGCTTTTACATAACTCTGATGATGAATCAATGAAAACTTTTTGGGAGCACAAAAGAAACATTGAGCAATTTAATACATAAAAACACAAACCAAGATGAAATTAGTTGGCACATTTAGCAGCCAAAAACTAAATATATCTTTTTCTGTATCTTTTCTCATCACTGTATGTTGTATGTGTCTGTGTTTGGCTTTACATTATTTATGAGTACCTCAGATTTCACAGATTTGGAAGGGCCAGGTAAGACAAAAGTCTTTCATTCCGCTTTTAACAATTGACAACAAAGTAAAGAAGCATGATGACACAAAAGTTTTAATGTTAAAAAAAGCAATGCCGTTATCCATCCATCCATTTCTGATCCACTTATCCTCACAAGGATTGAGGGCATGCTGGAGCCTTTCTCTGCTGTCTTCGAGCAGTAGGTGGGAGACACCCTAAACTGGTTGCCAGCCAATCGCCTTTATAATTTTAATGTAACGTACAAATTCAGCAGAGTTCAATGTTTATATAATGGTAGATTACCTCAACAGAACATCGATATATTCTTATACCTTAGCAATCAAATGCCAAAAACACGACATTGATTTCCAATGGTTGGTTTCATTCTTGACGCTGTTGTGAGTCTTTGCTCATTACCTAAAAATAGACATTGAGAGAGTAGGGGAGCCGCCAAAAAGTTCTTAACATAACTCAAGCAGACAGCTTGTTGATATTACAAATGCTGATAAACATTAAGATTCACATTATAGATTCACATATCCAGTTCATCAACGTGTGTGCAACATAACATTGGATTTCGACCAGAAATAGTTATCGATGCCACATACCAAAATGATGAATCACAAACGTGATATTTTACCTGACTCGATCTTCAACCACTCCCAAGTCTTGAAGCAAAAGACTGAAACTGCTCTGTGTAACTACCCAACCATCCAATCTCTACTCTTTATCAAGGGCAGCAGCTTTAGAAGGGAATCCACTTTTTTCAACTCTTCTGGGGGTCCCAGACCAGCTGGGAGACGTTGTCTGTCCAGCATGTCCTGGGGCGTCCCCGGGGTCTCCTGCCAGCGGAACATGCCTGGAACAGCTCATCAGAGAAGCATCAAGAAGGTATCCTAGCCAGATGCCCATATCATCTGGCTCTTCTCAACTTGGAGAAGCAACTGCTCAACTCTGAGGGCCCTATTTTGGTAGACTAGCACCCATGCGCTAGACGTAAAAATGAGCGTAACATAATTATCCTGCTGTCAGTACAAGTCTCGGCTAGCGTGTTTGGGACCATGTTTTTTAATACATATATATGTATCTCTCTCTCTCTCTCTCTCTCTCTCTCTCTCTCTCTCTCTCTCTCTCTCTCTATATATATATATATATATATATAGTCTGTGTGTGTGT